AGACCCTGCAAAAAAAAAAAAAAAAAAAAAAAAAAAAAAAAAAAAAAAAAAATTAAAAATAAAGAAAGAAGTCAGAGCAGAGGGTATAGCTCTGTGGTAGAGCACTTGCCTAGCCTGCCATTAGGTCCAAAAACAAATGGAAAAGTTCAGCCTTTGATTTGGAAAGTCTTATTCTTGAACCAAAGCCCTAATAGCCATTCTGTTTTCTTTTGTTCTTTCTGGTGCCAGAGAGCAAAGCCAGGGCCTCACATATTTACCAGGCAAATTACCATAGCCTTTCATCGGCTCACCTTAAATAATGACAAGGTTCAGAGAAAACCTGCATTCTGAGTGGAAAGCATCAAAGTGAACCAACCCCACCACCCATTCGGCCTCTCTCCCTACAGAACCCATTTCCTCAGACCCCTCCACATGCATCAGGGGAACAGACCCCGCCTCTGCTCTCGGAGCAAGTCTGACCGATCCCCTGCCAGAGAAAGAGCGTGTTTCCCCGGAGAGAAGCCTTAGAAAGTCCCTCCTTACTTATAAAAGAGAAGCGGGGACGGTGACTTCTCTACCAGACATGACGAAGGATACACCCACACTGCGGAGAGGAACTGGCCCCGGCACAGTGACAGCACTGCAGGTCAAGGAGCAGGAGACCAGAGGCCCAGAACAATGAAGGCATCTGAAAGGCCAATTAATGGCCATGAATCCCATCCCCACTTTTGATACTGGGGTTTTAACCCTAGGCCTTCGCACTAAGTTACATCCCCAGCCCTCTTTATTTTTTTAGGTTTTTTTTCAATATTAGTTTGAGGGCTGGGGATTTAGCTCAGTGGTTCTGCTGCCTGCCTCACAAGCACAGGACCTGAGTTCGATCCCCAGTACCAAAAAAATAAAATAAATATATATATGTGTGTTTGAGAGAAGTTCTCTAAATTGCCCGGGCTGGGCTTGAACTTGGAATCCTCCTGCCTCAGCCTCTGAGAGTGCTGGGATTACAAGCATGTGCCTCCTTCTGTGGGTTTACTAGAAATTGAATTTTTTGCGGGGGTACTGGGGATCAAACTTGGGACCTTGTGCTTGTGAGGCAGGCAGCAGCACCACTGAGCTAAATCCCTGGCCCTAGACGTTGAATTTTTAGTTCTTTATTTAGGAGGGTTTTGGGGGGTTTTGTTTGTTTGTTTTTTTGGTATCATAGATACATTGAAAAATGAAAAAATAGGGGCCAGGGATCTAGCTCAGTAGTTCTGGCACCTGCCTCACAAGCACAAGAGCCTGAGTTTGATCCCCAGTAACAAAAAAGCAAAAAAAAAAAGAAAGAAAAAATAGGGCCAGGGATTTAGCTTAGTGGTGCTGTTGCCTGCCTTGAAAGTGCAAGGTCCTGAGTTTAAAACCTGGTACCACTGTAACAGCCTGACTGAACCAGAGCGACTCCATGTTGATCAGCAAACGACCTAGAGACTGTCGCTCCCCCCCATCCCTTATGGGATAACTAATGATTAATTGTGAATTGTTAGGTAACTGCTTTGAAGTAGCTGGGAAACTAAATGGAAACTGTAGTGAACACAGAGACTCAACACAAATCACACCACTCCTTACTTGCCTG